GGTCGTCCAGTACCTGCCCAAATACCTCGTAAGGAAGGCTTCGGTTCTCGCCCGACTCTTTCAGGTTAGTCCTGCTGCTGGTATCGATGGGCGAACGCAGACTCTTGGCCAATGTTTGACTCCGCTTGACGGTAAGCTTCCTGACAGTGGTCGCTCTGCCTTCCTGTTGCTTTTCGACTTCAAATGTAAACAGGAGCTCGGATGTCTCGTCAGCGGTCATCTTGCGCGCATTGCGCTTCCACGCTTCCAAGACCTGGCGGAATTCGTTCTTATAGACCGGATGGCTCTTGTCTTGGTAGACCTGGATCATGCGATCCCAGTTGGCGGGGTCGACGTCCTTGGCGTATTTGATCAAGGGACTGTACTTCCACAACATGTCCCGACCGGTGTCGTGGTGGCGAGAATCCACCTTTCTTGAAAGAGCTTCGCGAAGCGCTCTGTTGACTTCGTTGTAGGCCACATCGAACTGTTGGGCCATGTAGCCGACCAACCGTCGCGAGAAGACAGCACTTTCTTGTCGGTACATCTCCTTCTTCTCCTGAACGATTCTCATCTTGCCATAGTCGGTGTTCTCGAGACCCACGGCTTGATCAACTTCTCCGCCGATATCTTCGCTCTTTCGTGGTTCGCCCCCTAGTAATGTGGGATCAATCTTGATCATGGCCTTGTAGAGAGTAACCAAAGACATTTCGATGTCCTCAAGGCCGTTCAGATCTTCCAGTGGTGCCGCTCTCAAGGCGTTCAGATCAGCAGAAGTAATAGTAGTTGTCTCAAGAAGAGACTCGAGCTCCTTCTTGAGCAGCTTCTGGTTAGCAGTTCGCACCTGAAGACCCTGGCCTTGGGCTTCAATGTATGCAATATCATCAGAAAGAGTCTATTTCTAGTCAGCAACAGTTTCGGAAAGTTTACGAAGCAACCTACCGAAAGTTCAACGCTGTACAGCGTCAGAAGATTCTCCATTTCTTCACACTCAGCGACTGCCAGATCGATGCCGCGTTTGATAGCCTCGACACGATCATCTTCTTCCTGGAACCGGGCTAGCCAGCCGCCGGCTTGGGCTTTGTTGAGCTCTCGCTCAAGGTCTGTCCTCATCTCGTCCACGTTACGAGATCTCATCTGCTCGCCAGGAACCCAGCCAAAGTAGTCAAGCCACTTTGTGAATTCGCCGCTCTTGTTATCCAAGACTGTGGGGTCAATACCAAGAGATGCAAGATACTTGGCGTCATTACCGGCAACTATCGACTTGCTGTTCTCCTCCTTGGTTGCGGATTCCTCTGGCTTCTTCACGCTAATAACTTCCTGAATCGAGGGCTGCAAGCTTGATGGTCGACTAGAATTAGGCACAGTGACCTTGACCTCAGGCACACCAGATGTGCGCTTGGGAGGCTCCGCAGGTGCAGCAGTCTCTTCGACTGCAGGTTCTGGGGATGTGACTTTCGGGCCGTCAGAGGAGGCAGGCCGTGGCGGAGGTTGGAAAACTGTTGTGATTCCTTCGGCAGGTTCAGTGCTCTTTGTGGCAAGCTGTCGAAGTCTTTCACCAGCACCACCAGGCCGAGGCTTGAAAGCTGAGGCAGCGGAGGCAGCCTTCCAGAGCACACCAGCGAGGTCATTCTTGGATTTCTTTGCTTTAATCATTGGTCCTAAACCCGGCCGACTCTCATCTTCTTGTTCCACGGGAGCCTCAGGCTCAGGGGTAGGCTCAACAGCCGGAGGCTCCTCGGGTATGATTTCCTCAACCGCAGCTACAGGCGCTGGTGGAGGGGCTGGAGGCGGACTCTGCACGATGGGAGAAACTGGGGCAGGGGGAACAGGGGGAACAGGGATTTCAGGCGGCGGAGAGACAATAGGAGGAGGTTGTCTTGTGGGTGTTGCCCCATTTCTTGTTGGGGTTCTGAGTGCGAGAGGAACATCTGGTGCACCAGGGTCTCCAGGCGTAAGGGGTGTAACTGGTCGGTTGTCCCTGTAAGAACCTCCATCTGACCTCTGCGAAAGAGAGTTCTTCCTGGCTGTACTCCTCGGGGGAGGGGCAACTTGATCTCGTCGCATCCCCGGGCTCACCAAGGGCGCAGGAACCAGGTCTCTGTCGTTGAAGCCCTGTCCCTGGGGCCTTGCCGGGTCCATCGGTGGCCTCTTCCTCTCTGGCGGTCTGCCTTCTTCGGAGATTGGCGGAGGTGGTCCTAGTCCAGGCTCTTGACCTGGCTCACCGAACCTACCAAAGGCCCCTTGCCCAGGCATGCCATTCCGTGAGCGCGGCGGCATGCTTCCCGTATCGTCGCTCCTGCCTCCCAGGGAAGGCGAGAAAGATTCTTGGCTCTTGTTCCCGAATCTTCGCAGCGTAGGGGGTTCCTGCGAGAACGAAGATGCCATGCTTCCCGCTGGTGAGTTATTCGCCATTCCATTGAGAGGTGGTGGTCGGCGAGGGCCTGGGGGGCCAGGCGAGGGAGTGCCATAGTTGGAGGGCGCATTCGGAGCGCCGAGGCTGGTCTGACTAGAAGCAGCATCGGGCATTGCGGGAGGTCGGAAGGCAGCCTGTGCGGGAGGGGGTGGTCGTCGTTCGTTTCTCAGGATTTGGGCCATCTCGGCCTGGTCGAAGCCCGATAGCTCAGGGACCTTGCCTCCCGTGTATTTGCCATAGATCTTAACCAGGCTGGCAATGAAGAACTTCTTTTCCTTATCCGATTGCGCATTCCAAAAGTAAGGCTTTCCGATGGTGACGATGAAGCCAGTATCACCAGCCCATTCGCGGAAGGTCGGGTTAGCCGGCGGCCCCGTGAAGGACTCGATGGCAGAGAGGTCGTCGAGGTTCCATGTCTTTCCAATTGAGAAGGAGCCGTTGGCGTTCTCTTTCGTTTTGTGCATACGCACTCGGCCACTCTTTCGCACTGCAACGACGATTACGCGGGGTTTCTGTGATTCGGGTGTTCGTGCTTGAGGCGGTGGAGGAGAGGTCGGATGGGAGGAGTACTCGGTGATTCGAATGTGGGTGATGTATGTCTCGAGCACTATCGACGGAAGCAAGGGTCAGTACCATACGCATATGAAGCAGACTTTTTGAGTGAGAAATTCTAGCGAAATCGGGGTTCGACGCACACGATCCGTCTACATCCTTCTTGATGAAGCAGCTCTCGATGATGCGCCGCTTCTCATCCTCGAATCGTTGGGCCCTGTTGTCCATGGCTGCTCGGTAGGGCGGTCCCGTCGCAGTGGAATGGAGCAATCATGAGGGTGTTCGCAATGCAATGGGAGGAACCATTTACATGGTCGTCGCGCAATCGGAATCGGGAGGGCGGCGTGGCGGTGCGATGGGGGGACAATACGCTCGGAAGGGAGTTGAATGAGGTTGAGGTGGGATTTCGAGGTCGTGTCGTGATGCAAGCCAGAAGGGGAACGGGTGGACGTGTGCTGGAGTCTGTCTGTCCTTGGGGGTAGCTTGCTGCCAGGGCAGCCTTTGGTCCCGCTGGTTGATGGGGTGGAAAGTATTTCGACCGTCGAGTCTGGGGCTCCTGTTAGCGCCAGTCCCGAGCTAAGTCTGATAGCGCCGCCACTTCGCCATCAGTGTGGCTGGTGAAGACGTTCCTGTTACTTGAATCTTTCTTTTTCACGTTCAAAATGTATGATTTATTTTTCCATCATTTTTCTTCAGTAGCAATCGTCAAGTCTGGTCATTCACAGAATTCAATGTCTAATGCCTCTGCCATCTCGGTCCCGCATCGACTCCACGGTACATTGGTGGTACCTGCCCAAATGCCTGTCTATCTGCTACCTGACGGGAACTTGCAGCGACATACTTCCCTGGACTAGGTACGCAATCGGGTGCGCTGAAAGATTGATTTGGGAGGGATGAGGTGGCTCCTTCCTCCCAATGCCACAACGCTAATTATCTGTAAGTACCTAAGTATCCGTAAGGTGGTGGAATGTCCCGCCACCGATTGACTTCTGATGTCCCGCAATCGCCTGGCTCGTTCGCAGCTCGCCCTGCAACTCAGTCCCCTTTTTCAGCAATCCTCTTCTTGCGAAGGTTACCGTGCAGATAACCGCCTTCTTTAACGATATTTCAACCTCACATGAACAATTCATGCTTGTAAGAAGAGACACACGCCCGCATATTCCCGTTGCTTGTTTTCCGTCTATGCACCGAACCGATATCAGACGCATCATCCGGCAAGGTTGCCGTCAGAGAGCTCGGGCGCCCGTCGTCATGCCTCCCACCAGTCCATGTTTCAAGCTGCCCTGCCCATGAATGAGATAGCCCCCTCGATACGCCCATCACTGCAACATCCGGGGTTCCGATGCCGTCTCTGTCTCTTGTTCTTTCTGCCGACGCCCTCGGGCACTTCTGACAGTGAACCTTGTACTTCTTGGGCAGCTATATCGCCAAAGTCAAAAGGCTTACTCACCCGACTCTTGCTCAACTCGCTGCGCACTATTCAGTGTTTGGATATCATCATCAGATGGCCAGTGAAGCTCTCATGACCAACCACTCTACTTTGGGGGTGAACCGTGCATCCGACTTCAGATGGTCGACTTCAAAGTCCAGCTATCAACGTCAAGTGAAGCAGCAACAGAGGTATCATCGATTCACCTCACACGATGAGCCTCACAGACTCTGAGGCAACCCATGTCAAAAAACGCTACTTCATTTTCCCTTCGAAATCAACCACAGTTGGCTGGTGAATGAGACGGTCGCATATCGCCTCAATCTGTTCCTGTCTCATAAAACCAATCTCAGCTTTCTATATCATGTGCCTTTTAGATTATCGCTCTGCCAATAGCTCAGTAATCCAGACTTCTCTCCTTATTATCTAGCTTTGAATTCTTCCACGGAGGGTATATTATGGACAACAACCAGAGCACAGCAATTTGCAACGCCACCTGCCAACGTTGCAGGGTCACCAAGAAGACGCCCTCGGCCTCAAGGCTACCCTCGCCCTATCGCCAATAGACCAAGCACCAGAAATCTAACCACTCTCTTGCTGTTCCACGTTCACCTTACCCTCCTCCTACCACATCTCAACCACCTGAGTCTGATATTGGCTCGTCTGAGCGTCTTGAACCGTCTCCTCTGGGCCCTCCCTGCCTATCGGCTGTATACGGCCGTGGAATGTGATAGTGCCCTCGACCGTGTACCTGTAACGCCAACTCTTATACTCTCCCAGCGTCCGTTTGCATTCTTTCCACGGCCATTCTCTCATGCAGCGGAGCCTGGCCTTACCTTTCGGTGTCACCCCTGCAGTGAAGTATGTGCTGCCTGGAAGTATACAATTTTTGAGAAAGTGCCCTGCGCATAGCTTGAGCACCTCTCCCGTGAATAGCTGGGGGCCGTCTTCTCGGTATGCTTCGTTGAATACGGCTTTTCCGTCTCCGTCGACGTAGCCCACTTCGTTCTGCTCTTGATAGAGGATCTTGTTGCGGGCGGGGTAGTTGAAATCGAGGCCGCCGTCTATTTGGCTCATTTTGGTGGCGATGCTGCTTGGTCCTTGTCTTATTAGTTGACAGTCTGTTGAAGTGGAAGTAGGCCAGCTATGAGCGCTGGGATATTGTCAGGGGCTAGCAGACTAATTTATATGTCCTACACTCTTCTCTGGTCTCTGTGAAGGAAATGTTGAATACTGTAGCTGCGTCGGTAACATTCGAGTTGTTTCCTCCCAAGAGACCTTCCCTAAAGTTGTCTGCACCCTGAAAGGGTATTTACACCTCGACTCACCTCGCAACGGAGTACTTTTCTTTCAGTTTTGGGCGAGAACTAGACAGATCGGAGCTTGAATGCGGTTATTGCTCCAAGAGATTGATCGATTGAGACAAGTGAGCCAAGACATAAAGCGGAACATCGTTGATGTATGGCGGCCTCTTCTTCTGCTCCACAAGATAAACAATGAAACAGGTATGGAACCAGCGCTTTTCTTCTGAAAGCTTTTCCTCCATACTTCAAAATCGAGTTCAGTCTCAAGCATAGGTCTGCTTTGGCCTTGAGGTCCATACGCGATATTGGCCCTCCATCGATCGGCCTAGCTGAATCCTATCTAAAGGTCACCAACATCCCATGGCCAGCTCAACATTTTGCGATGCACAGCATTGTGTATGACATCCGCATTTTTCCAGAGTCCCAATCGATCAAACATCTTTTCCAGCAGAGAAGGAGACGGCAAGAAGGAAATATACACCGGCCTCGCCACCACGCCGTGAGGTAACTGTATCGTACGTCGACCCAGATGCACAAAGATGGTCCTATCCGGTGAGCATGCCATGTTACAAGACCACTCTCCCGAGATTGCCCGCTTCGACTCTTCGTCTTTGAAGTAACAAAACCAATCGTCGTTTCCCTTCTCCCGAGGAAAATATTCTTCAGCCGCAGCGTGAACCCCGACAACGACTCTCTCGACGCGGCCGTCTCCGATGTTCAACTGTAGCTCAACTCCGAGTGTTCCACGCCGTCTTATAAAGAGCGGGACAAGGCCTCTGTATGGTGTGTTGAAGGGCGCCTGGCCGGTCGAGTTGACATAGAAATGCTCAGATTGTTTTGCATGCTGTGAGGTCACGGAACTCTGGTCGGTCGAGCCGACTTCTATGTGAAATTTTGGTGCCTTTCGTGTCTCGATGATTGGCATAATCATCTGCGATACTCCGTGCCCAGGCTTTCCTTTATACCAGAGTGAAATAGCGTACTTCAACAATTCAGCGTTCCGTTGCAGTGGATGAATGCAGAACTCTTGTAGGCTGGAGGGGTATATGTTCCTCAACTCATAGAGAGCTATGGGTCGTGCGGGTATCGGCCATCGTTGAGCGCCGACCGCAGAACCGTCAATCAGTGACGAGACGCCATCTGAAGTTCCGACATAATTGCTCGTCAGAAGAGGGATGCAAACACGGCCTGTGCTTGGGTCTTCTTCTCCTGCTTCGCTTCTCCTCTCGGATACGTTCAGCACAGCAAGATCTAGACCGGACATCTTGAGCGTGGGCAGGCGGATGCGCAGACCTACGTTGGTCATCGAGTACGACGTGGCCATGCTCCATCCGACAAGAGACTCGTCGGTCTCTGACCCGCAGAAGAAACGGTCGCCGCCCTTGAAGACCGAAGGCGATGGTGCGAGTAGACTACTCCAGTCATGTGGGATCGTATGATCCCACGTCCAACAGAAGATTGTCTGGTCGTCCGAGATGCGGATCAACTCCTCCTGGAGGCGTATAAACGCCGCCGAACGCTCGCCGTATAGTAACGGCATGTTGAGACCGAGGAGTCCCAGCACACAGTACGCCATGTCTTCGGAACGTGTCGTCTCTCGGCCCGCCAGCCAGGAGAATACCTCCGAGATGCTCGCGTCCAAGACTGACTTGGCGCCGGAAATGTACTCGTTTCTTATTCCGGTGATGTTTGAAATTTCAGGCGCAAAGTCTTGCCGCGATCCTAGGATCCTCCAGCTCTTGTCAAAGAAGTACATTCGCCTCGGGGCCAAGAGTTCTTGCAATGTCCAGCCGCGGGTGAACCAACGACTACGAGCGAGTTCAGATCGCCAACGTCGTTGTTGACTTGAGATACCGTCGCCTGAGCTTTCCGGCAAACTGGTATCCTCAAAGTCAAGGTCTTCGAGATAAGCGAAGCAAACAGCCGATTCTTGATACCAGTTGAACATTGAGTTGATTGCCTCTGAGAGCTCGGCAGAGCTTTCCTTGTCGATACAGTTCGTATCAACCCACAGGTACTCGAGGCCGAATTCTCGTGTCAACCGACAAGCCTCGAGTATTTTGGCGTACCTCTGTTCTTTGGATTTGGCGACATGTTGTTTCTGCCACTCCTTGAAACTTATCTCCTGCGTGCCATTCCAAGTGTGAGATAGAGTTGCGTACTGGGGGCACCGGCCCATGAACTCCTCCAGTAGGAGTGTGTTCACATTGATCAGACGCATTTTTGTAATGTTTTCATGGCTAGAGTTTATGAGGTCGATGGAAGAGAATATGGTCGCTTTTCATAGCCTGATCTAGCTACTTGAGTTCCTTGCCCACCAGCCAATACCCACAGCCTGCAATGTGAGTGGCCCCATCATTGCCTGCATCCCCATGCATGTTGTCAGCAGTGATGCCGCACTATGTACCTGTGAGTGAGAGCAGTGACACAAACATAAACTTGCGACGAGTCAAAAGGCTCACATATGTTCTTCCATCCTATATCTCAGCTTGGAAAGAACCAGATGATCTTCAAACGGGCTATGCTATGTAGCTCTGCAGGCACATGAGCTCCAGGAGACAAGAACAACTTTAGTATCATGAATCTATATAAAAAGGCAAATGAGCTTACGTTTAACGTTGGAATCCTTTGTTCTTGTATACCGCGAGCTACGTCACATTTAACCATGTTCTTAGAGATTTGAATGGGTCCAAGGAAGGAACGCAGATATCAATTTGCAACCAACTGCCTTTGTCTAGGCTATCCCATTGTCTTCAGAAAGAACAGAGCTGTTCAGCATATTCTCGAGCGCCTTCGCAAGGATTCGTGATCAGCAGCGTTATCTAGTATCTTCTCGAGTGTCTTTGCATGTGTTTGTCATTGGCAGTGCCGTTTGGTATTCGCTCTAGCGCCTTCGCACAAATTCGTGATTTTCGAGTCACGAATATGTGAATGACAACAGTGATCTATAGAAGAAAGGCACGGGTTTACTGAAAATATATTACTCAACAAGTTCTCCTAAAGCCGACTTAGCAAACAGCCATAGCACCTTAAAAAACATTTACCACTTGCAATCATGGCCTCCAACCTGGCGATTGAGTCACGAATACGTGCACGATGACCGTGATTTACGGACGAGAGGCACATGTTTATTTAAAATCAGTCACTCGGCAGGTTCTTTCAGAACCAATTTAGCGAGTACTTGGAAGCTGGCCACTTCGCAAGACGTTCGCCACTTGCAACCGCGGGCCGATAACCTTACAATCGCATACATGGCTGGGATAGGTAATGTGAGGTTAAGGAACGGTCTTTTATATCTTCCTCAAACGCCTCCTTTTCCTAGAAGGAAACTACGGGTACATCGATCCTGCCAGGTGTGGTGATATCTAGTATTCAGTTCTATTTCATCTTGAGCCTTCAAAGGCCTACTTCATCCCATTTGTTCGTTCTATGTACATGGGCTCGTCTTCATGCCTTCAAAAAGGTCGCCAATCCCGGCGCAGCCCATTCCAGATCCAGTATCATACACTCGTAGATATCTTCCCCCATACAGACGCATTTTGCTGCATCTTGTAACCCGAATGACCAACTTTGTATGGTAAGAAAATGTTGCGCAAATGCCAGATAAAAATGCCGATAGATCATGTCTCATATCCCTTTCCATGTTTCCCAAATTTCCCCTCCTCATTATCACTCATCCCAGATTCATTCATTCTCTTCTTTCTCCCTTCCATGTCGTAGTCTCAGCCGAAGCCTTGGCATAACGCTCTCAAACTCGCAAGAAGAAATGCGATGGCGCTTTCTTGCGTAAACAGTTTTTGTCGTGGTATCTCAGTGTAAATGCGATGGTAGATAGTAATTGCAGCAGCAGCAGCAGCAGCAGCAGCAGCGAGCCGCAGCGCCGAGTAAACCCCGTAAAGATGAACGGCGAGTAGATCAGTCGTCGACAATCTCGTCGGAGCTGCTACTACTCGACCCAGACGTCACACTCATGCTCTGGCGCGCAACGTGGACCAATCTGTAAATGCCAAAGGCCACGAGGGCGAGGACGACGAACAGCACGATGACAATGATCGCGATGACGTCGTTTTGTTTGACCATGACTGCTAGCTAGGACTGTTCGTCCTTTGGTCTTGTGCGGTTCTTGAGTATGGAGCTGACGGGAGCTCTAATGGCCGCGATGATTTTTTGGTGGGGGTTGTGGGAGTGAGCCCGGCGCCGGTGTGGAGCGGTGCGGGGGACAGCTTGTGTGGAGAGCCCGGTGGCTGGGAGGAGGAAGAGAGACACGGAGGGTCTGGGCGGAGATGCCGTGGAATGTGGTCTCGGGAAGACGATTGAGTTTGGTGGTATCTTTCAACGGTCCGAGGTTTTTGTCTGTGCCTTTGGGATGGCCTGTCAGACAAGTGTCCTCGATCTGAATTCCAGTTGGAAGCTAAGGAATTGTCGTTCGTGACGGCCCGATGAGATTTCAATCCGTGATGAGCAGCTCAATTTCCCTGCCGGGAATTCGTCAAATGCCGAGATGTATGGGTCCGAGATGTGGGTAAAGGTTGACGATAGAGACTCAGAGTGGACAACGGGAGTGTTCACTACGGAGTAGTCGACGATGATGAGAAGGAGAGAGGGGAAAGAAACCTCGAGATCATTCAAATGAACCCTTTTTCGCAATGAGAATATGCAATGTATCAGAAGAAAGAGAGGAGGGGAATTGAGAATGGTGAGGAATGCAGCGCGGGCAAGCCTCACGTTAAAAAGAAGCGTTGCCCCGCCACCAGCTTTCCCAAAGCTGGTCGCCCGCCCAGCCGCAAAACCCGAAAGTCAATAGAAATGCGAGAGGCTGGGCCGCGCGCCGCACCACCAAGTACCTTACCACAACCACCACCACCACCACCACTACCACCCTGGGCCAAAAAATCCGCGACAACGCTACCGCGACTTTCAGGCTGTCCTACTCGTCCAACCGCCTGCGATGCAGGGATGTAAAGCTGCTTTTTAGTGGAGTATCCCGACGGGCTTGCTGTCAACGTCCTCCACTACCCAACCTCGCGGACTCGCAACATGCAGGTTTCTTACCCTTGTCGCAGTAAGCCTCTCCGTCTTAGGGAGAGGTCGGATGTACTCTTTACTGTAAGATTGTGTGTGTCGTGACCTTGACTAGACCGAAAGCGCTACTTGGCCATGACTTAGCTGTACCTGCATCGTACCTGGATCTAGCACTCGGCGGCACCCGCCTATTGACATGGATGAAGTGCCTTTCACGACTCTGAGATCATGTTGCTCACTCGTAATATATGAACGCCGAGAAGTTCCTGCCTGCCCAAGCTGCGTTGGCATATTGGGAATGTAAGATGTTCAACGTCCTTTATGGAGACAACAAAGGGCAACCTCACGCATCAGCTGGAGCAATTAGAATCAACAGAGGAACTTGCGGTTTTCTTTTCTCCCGAAATTACGAAGTATAACCGTGAAGCATACCTCCTCCCGCTAATTCAGTCGCAATAAGGATATAGCAAGCCCTCCCACAGTCCGGATCGCCTTCGACCTGATTTTAGATATGGCCTGATGAGACTTCTTCCGAGGACTGAAAGCGTGCAAATATCGCAACGAGCAGAAGCCAAGCCAACGGCGCTCGAGAACCTGCTAATGATATCAGATGTATCACGAGCCCAAACGCCAGTCCTTTCCCAATAAAATTCACAAACGGCACCCTTATTTTCGTGTCCTACATCTTGGCTTCGGGCGCGGTATCAAGGTCCGTAGGATCGGCGTCGGGTCCCGCCTTGATGATGCGAATGTGCTTTTCGTAAAATTGCAGCATCTACGTATCCGTTAGCGTCGTCATCCCGTGTTGCGCCGAGATACAAGGGACCATACCTTTTGGGGACATCTCTTATACACTACCTCCTTGGGATGCTTAGTCTTCTGGCCGTTTCGCCAATTGAGATAGATGATGATGGAGCCTGACTCTTCGTCCTCGCAGGCATCGATCGACTCGACGTCATCCTCCCAGCTGCCGCTGGGCAGCGTCCAGGCCTTCGCTTTAGCCTCCTTTACTGACGCGGGAGGAGTAGATTCGGCGGGGTGACCATTACGCTTGCCCCTCTTGCTGCTCGCCGGCGGTGTAGACGACGAAGCACTGGGGCGGCCGCGCTTCTTCGTGGTCTTGGCCTTGGTCTTCTCCTCAAACAGCGCCTCACGCCCACCGAGCTTCTTAAGGTATTCTTCCAAGATCTCTGATGCGCCTTCCCTGGTAATGTGTTAGGCGTCGTTTCAAAATTGGTGCCGATCGCAGATCACAGTTTGAAGCTTACTTCAGGCTGTCTTCCGGCTCCCAGGTCTGGTCTGATTTCTTAGAGTAACCTTCCCATTTGACACGGAAGTTCACAGTGCCCTGCAAGAAGCGTTAGTATCGAGGCGCACTGCCAACAGAAGAACAGAAGAGGGCCACTTGCGTCGTCGGACACCACATGGTCAAGGATCTTCTCGACAACGTATCTATGGCCGGTCAGCCCTTTTGTCCGAGCAAAGCCGTTTGGTGTGGGTAGCGTACTCATCAGCCTCCAAATCGTCGTCTTCGTCGCCTTCCTCGTCCTCCTCATCGGCCACGACAGCGGCTACCTTAGCAGCTTTGGCAGGCTTGGTGGCGTTGCCGTTCAGGTCGCCGGAGATGATGGGAATGTCTTCTTCGCTCTTGGCTTCGCTGACATCGTCTCGGTATTCTGCGGATCGGCTCTTTGCGCGCTTCTCTTTGAGCGGGATAGCGATTTCGCCGCCGGCGTCGGACATCTCGTCATCGCTAATAGCTATAGAAGCTGTCAGCTTCATGCGACGCGACATTGTGACGTTGTATGGAAAATTGGTGGAGGATTCGCGTCGTGAAGTGTGTTATCGCAATCTCGACGCGACTTGGCTAGTGGCGCGAGGGGTGAAGTTCGAAGAGGTGAGGACTTACCGGGAGGCATTGTGTAGAGATTGTTTATTCCAAGGTGTATACGCAGCTCGTCTAGGCAGTAGCGACCTGAATGGTCGCAAACAGGAGGTTGCGTAAGACTCAACGTGAAAGGAAGCTGCGATGCGCTGCCAAAGAGACGATCGCAAATACCGGAAGCTGCCCCAACTTTTGCATAAAGGTAGCAAGACGCTGGAGTAGAGTCGCGTCACAGCCAATTGTGGCACTCAACCGTCACGTGATCTGCACGCACTAGCCACTTCTCTGGACGGAGGAGAAAGAACGGATACCTGCCGCCACCAATTCCGGCGCTTTCCTGCAAGTCCGGGAGCCCCCATCCTCTGAGTACCCACAACTGACGGCAGAAGGAGCTCATGTGGAGCTCCGAACCCGTGGACCAAGCTCCAACCTGGAAGGTCGGCCTCGAATCTTACTCCCGTTTGTAAGTTACCCACCTACGTCGTTCCCTGAAGGTACCTTGCCTTACTTGATGAAATGTAGTCTCTTCATTGTACGCTGGTATAGTAGAATACCAGAGAGTCAATTCTAGGAAGGAACTGATACGTTCTCGCCTCGATTGGAAGCTTCCAGAATAAGTACCTAAGCAATTCACTGCCCCGTTTTGCCGCACGAATTCTGAGCAGATGACAACTTTTTCCCAAGTTGATCCTGCCAATTCTTCACATCTCACACGCTGCATCGCGGTGCCTTGATCCTTATGACATTGACACCGGCTGCAGTCGATAAGCTGATTATACTTTTTTCCAACGTCGCAAGCTAGTCTGGTCAAAGCTTGTGTCGTTACCTTACTCAACGGCAATCATCCCTTGCCAAAGTCGTTGGGTGTTGGATATGGCAAATCGCATGAGTTCGTGCGCGGCTAATCTGACGATCGACGACAGCCAATCCAAGAAGAAGAACGCATCTGCGATGTACGCCAAAGTCTACTTTTTTGCCAGCGAGCTCGCTGAGATCTGCCAGACACTGCTACTTTATCCTGTGAAGGGCGCTTCTCGGCACCAACAAGACTGTGCCGCTCCAACCAACGGAGAAAAAACGACTCGATGTGCAGCGTATCTGCATGTAACTGCAGAAGCGTAATTTGCATCTCATCAAAATCTCTGCAGTGCAAAAGGGGTTGCGATTTGCTGTTCAAATACGACAACCAACGAGACGTTCTTGAAAAGGGTTAGGCAAGCGCCAAAAGACATGGATCTCGATTTCGCAGTTGGTGGACCAGTGCCAGCCATGCTCGGTGATCATCTGCAAGGTCCCGACCGACCAACAGAACTACTTCGCTTCTCCCTCGCGTCAAACCCAGGGCGGATGATGCCAAGTTATGGCATTTTAAGGTCGAAGAACGGGCCAGCGAGTGCCTATTGCTCTGGATCAGGGCCAAACACGCCGTGGCGCTGAGTGTCAGCTCCAGCTGCCGTACGAGAGGCGGCGGGAAATTATCGGTGTCCTGCAGGCTGCTAACGTCAGTTGGTGTGCAGTTGCTCCTCGGTGGACTTTATGGGGCCCGTACGAGACGGTCCCAGACAGACAAGGTTGACCCAAGATGCTGCGGCTGCGGGAGGCTACACTAGACGACCAGCCTCCAGGGGACGACCAGGACCGGGAGTGTCAGCGAATCCAGCAACAGCGGGCGATAGGAACCGCCGCCGCCGCAAGCTCGAGGATGAGTGGCCTGGACGCGATTATCTGTCCCGTAGTCCTTGCGTCGCGTCTTGCAGATGCCAACCCCATTATTAGATGCAGGAAAACGGGGTCCTTTTACACCGGATGGCATCCCCGGGTCAAACACACGGAGCGGAGAGGAACAAGAGCCAAGGCCAAACATTCGGCAGAACACGGCCTTGTTTACGTGTGGAATCCTGCCGTCTCTCGTCGGAACAAGCTCTTGCCGACATTGTCAGAAATTGATGAAGACCAGCCGCTTCGCCTTACTGTATACAGATCCAGGACGTATACATGCTGCGTGAGCAATGTTCATGAGACAAACTCCGCGATGTTCGTCGGCGCCGTTAGCACGAGGTCCTTCACCGGCTCCCCTGGATGATCTCCCGGAAACCCCCTGAAAAATGGATCGGATACAAGCCAGTGGGAGTCTGTGGGACCCCAGGAGCCTAAAGAAACGAACCGGGCATGCCAACCCGCGCCCCGGTCGGTCGACCAGTCTAGCCAGAATTTGTCCAACGCGGTGAGGATGGGAATGAGGTGAGTTGAAAGGTGGTATCTGGAGACTGGAGACCGGAGCACCACTGTGACTGGACCAGACGACATATTGGCTTACGGCATCTTTGCGTTTTATTGAACATTTGTGCCGTGGATTCCATTGGGTCGTGCCCTCAGCTAATTACCTCACGAGTCACAACCGTCGACGGCTGTCAAGCCTGTGGCCTCTGGACACTGGAGCTCTTTCGCAATGACAAGCCGCGAACCCAGGGCCCCTCAAGGACGGGCCCGAGTCAGAGAGTCGGAGAGAGGCCAGGCTGCCCAACGCAATTATGGCTTAATGAGGCAGCTCGGCAGGGTTGAAGAAATATTTCCTCAACTGCTAAAGGGTCTTGTATGGGTGGTTCAGATCGGGACCCGAGGGGGAGAAGACAAGACAAGAGGCGACGTGGAAGAGACACGACAAGCAAGCTTGCTCGAGGCAAAAGTTCCCGGTACACCCCTCACGACAGCGCTAGACCAGTAGCACTGATGCACAGGGCGACGCCGGGCTGTCCCTCTCCTTTCCGCGGGCCAGATCAGCACTACACTAAGCGAATAAGCGACGGGACATGTGAGAGAGCCACCAGACGCTGGAATGACGGCGGCTCAAAGAGACATCCTAAGCGGGATGGTCTTGATATCCGAGGACTGAGTTTGGGTCCCAGTTGAACACATCGCGTGCTTGGTAGGTTTAGGGGACTCTTGACTGGCTCTCTGGAGAGATGCCGAGTTGAGGAGTTGGTGGGCACTTTGGACCAACAAGAGCGCGTCGATGGAGTCTTTGGAGATGGAGCTACTCCGCGGACGAGGGATTCTCGGTTTAACTCTGTGTGTGAAAATTTAGCCATGTTACCCCGATAGGCAAAGCCGCTTGAGATGCTATGGGTCACCATGGTGGTGTGCAGTCGGTGTAGAATTAAGGTAAGGTGTTCCCGGGCAGTTAGTGAAGTAAGGTGTCGATAGCTCGAGCTCTCTCTTCACCTTGTTTTCGAGGCGCGAGGCGGCTGATTATGGTGTGCTGGGATATCTGTCATGGATGGTACAGCGTCAGGTACCTTGATCTTGGACTTGGCCTCGACCTTCCGAGAGAGGAGATGCAGGAATACGTTTCCTCTCCCCGTTGGCTGATGAGACCCTACGGCTCGCCTCCCTGACGCAGCCAGCTTCGCGAGGCGTCATTGGACATTACCTAACTCACCAAGTCAATATTCCAACTATTTTAATGCCACGGTAGATCAGTGTGCTAAGGTGCTATTAAGGTGCAGTGAATGGCTATTAAAAGGTGTTTATGGATATGAAAAAAAGAGCACCGGCGCAGAGGTGGGACCACCGTACGGCCCTGGACATTTGAGCCCGTGAACTTGTGAAGGGGGGGCTTGCATCTGGGCCGTCCTTGGCTCCGTCTGTGCTTGCAGCTTGCGCGCGCGCGCTGCACCTGGCCACCAGGGCACCTGCACCTGCACACTGGCGGCAATCTGGGGGAAAGCGGACAGGAGTGAGGAGCTGGCTCGCTGGTCATGGTGGATAGACAGGATAGATTTGGATTGGATTGGATTGGATTGGATTGGGATTGGGATTGGGATGGCCCGGATGGGATGAGTGAGGGATGAGGGATGAAGAGGGATGGTTTTAGTGTGAGGTGAGGTGGGTATGTACTTGTAGAGAAGATGGAGGGGGGTGCACCTCAGTTCTCCGCCCCGTACCGCACAATGAGGTGTACCTACCTAAGCACCCAAGGTCTCAAGGACCAAGGTAGGTGGTACCTTAGGGTGCGCCAAAGCTCCCACCTCGCCGTCCTGTTCTGGCGCGGGTCGGTGGTGCTACCCCTGCCCGCCTGCCTTATTAAAAAAAAATGCAATAATTAAATCCCGGGTGACATTTTTGCAACTTCCCCTTACTCTTCTGTACTTTACTTCCACCTCCCCGTCCTTTGCCCTTTTCCCACCCACCCCCTCTTCGTCTCTTTTCGTTTTTGCAGAGAGGTCGAGAGATTGCGAGAGTCCGCGGATGAATTGAGAACCTGCACGGCAAGAGAGATCGAGAGACCGAGAGAAAGAGCGCGTGAGAGAGAGACAAGTCCGGGAAAAGATTTTACTACTTCCTTAATACCCGGCATCCTACTTTTTACCCTCCTCCGTCAACCCGACTCGCTACCTTGGCTCTCGCCCACATCTCGAACCGACCCCGAACCTCTCCCATACCTGACTCCGTGAACGGCCGATATACACGTTTCTTCGTCACAAGGATTGGCTTGCGTTCAGTAAACCTCTGTCCGTACAAGGGTAGCAGCTACTTCTCGACATCTCCCACCGACCTCCTTCTCTTCGCACACTCGTTTAGCTCTTCAGCATCTAGTCCTTCTTTTTTGATTATTTCCCTCTTTTAACTACTCTCTTTGCGTATCTGACTACTCTGTCCTCAACACCACTCGTTACATTTCCTTACCTTATCTACCAACGTTAAACTTTGCTGGCTTCGCCTCCGATCACTCTCTACCCGGTCCATCTACACATGACCCTCGATTACATAGCTCCCCCTGGAGCAGCTGCAAGTGTCTATTCACGCAAGAGAAGCCTTGTAGCACCCTTTCTGAAACGAACACGAATTCGTCCCTACCGCCGATAAACCTTTCGAAACACTCGTTACCCACCCGTCTCTTTACATCCAACACCCCGAGCCAAAATGGCCGAAACCGCGAGCAACGCCGACTCGAGCCAACAGAAACTAGGCGCCCCCAAGGATAAGAACTGCCCCTACTGCGGCCAGGCCTTTACCTCCTCCTCTCTCGGTCGACACCTCGATCTCTACATCAAGGAGAAGAACCCCAAGCCGCCAGATGGAATCCACGACGTTGACGCAATCAAGCGTCTGCGAGGAAGCATCACACGCAGACAGCCGAGAGGATCCTTGGGTGGGAGGAACGCCTCAACTCCAGCCACGACCCCTAGACCTGCCACCAAGCGAGATGCTGCGCCAGACAGTGGCGAGTCTCACAAGTCCCCGGCTCTGCCAAAGGACGGGCAATACGCCGTGGACTCTACGCTGAGCAAATATCCTTGGACTCCCTCGTGGGAAGCCACTGGCGTCATGAACAACATCCCCGCCAAAAACGGCGAAGTCGGTACTTCGACCGATGGCGAGGGCAGCCAGAATGCAGGAAAGAGGCCAAGACAAGTGAGCAAGCAAGTCGTGCAAAAGGCGCAGTTCGACGTCAAGCACAAGCTAGCAGATGCCATGGATACTGCTCGCGCGGCAGAGCTTGCATTACGAGAGCTTCTAAGCTCGTGGAGGGCAGCCAAGTGAGTTTCTCTGACAAACAACAGAAGTGTGAAGAATTGGGGAAAGAGATATATGGTGGCTAACCCTGGCTACTCTAGGCAACAAATCGACAACAACTCCATGCCTTTCGACTTTGACCCTTTAGCCCTCGACTTTCCTGCATTAACCTTGCAATGCCTCGCCTCGCCACCCACTCTCTTCTCCTCTACCCAGCATCCCACTTCCACCTCTTGGTCCGTTCAGTCACCTGGTCAAAGAGAGTACGATGCTCTGAAGGCTTTCTTCCAAGAAGAATTCAGTAACTGGAAAATCACTTGCGCAACGGCTACTACGGCAGCTATGGAAGATCTAACGTATCCTCCTCGGGATCAACCCGTCAGAGACACCCGCGAAGCAGTGAAGAAAGCGGAAAAGTCAGCGGAAAACCTCGAGAAGCAGGTGAATGAGCACCTTGGCTCGGCCTTTCAAGTTTGGTCTTCTCTGCCTATTCAGCGGCGGAACGAGCTGTGGCTCTTGGAAATGGCTAGGAGCGTTGGCAGGAAGCAAACCGAGATCGACAAGATGAAGGATGATCAGCACAGGCTACAGCAAGAGAACGCCAACCTGAAGTCTCAGATTGACCAGCTCAACCGTCTCCAACAGCCCCGAGAATTCAAGCTATTCTCGCCGGCCACGGTGCCCCTGGAGCGGCAGCTTCTCACTCACGTTTTAGAGGCAGGTATCAAGAGTGGAAGCCGCCACGTTGGACTACGATTGGAGGACCGGCAACTGGATTTGAACGACGTCGTTGTGCGGGCAATCGAGAGGTGGAAGACGGTTATCAGCATGAACCGTGTCGCCAACACTGGCATGAATGCTCAGAGGGCACTGGACCAAGCAAACAACACCACCCCTACGCCGACGCCGACTCCTCAGCAACAGCAGCAGCAGCAACAACAGAACCAGCAGCAACAACAGAACCAGCAGCAAGGGCAGCAACAGCAACCGCAACAACACCAACAGATGCAAGCAGCACAACAGCAGCAGCAAATGCAACAACAGCAGGTGCAACAATTCCCGAGCCCCGAGCATCGGCAGTCGACAACGAGCGTCACTGGCCATAGCGACCCGGGTGATTCAACAGGCCCGCCCTCGATTGACGAGGCAAGCGATCAAGATGTGGATGCGGATGGGGATGCCGACGCCGACGCCGATGCTGAGATGGAGGATGATGACAGTTTTGCCGTAATGAACACGCCCACCGCGAAGCCCATGCCCCAGCAGCCGATTCAACGACAAGCCACCCTCGAGGTGCCACGGACGAGGCAGGTCCAGCAAAGGGGTGCTAGCGATGCGCGGTTCATGATGCAGAACGGGAATCCGAACGCGAATCGGCAAGCAATCAACATGAGCCGGTCAATGCCTAATATGCAAGCTACGATGCAGAGCATGCATGGTGGTGACATGGGACTGGCCATGTCACAGGTGAGGGGGGATCCAATGTATATGGATTGAGAGATTCATCACAATGAGGCTCTACGGAGGAGGGAGGTTTTCACATTCGAACTGGAGGGCAAAAAAAAAAAATGAAAAAGCTGTGGCCTTACAGTTCACGCCCAGCTTGTTTTTTTTTTCGGGCGAAAGCCCATTGTATAAGCTTACATTTACAAACGGTTGCATCTCTCCTGAGGCATATAAAGCGCATACAGAGCGTGGCCCGGAGTAGTCTTTTTTGGACATCTTTTTTTTGGTGTTTAGTACAAAATAACCTGTCGGATGAAACAGGAAACTTCTTCATCGCCACTCTTTACGCGTCGTTCATCGTGCTTTTGCTGCCCGCGGGGCCGGTGTATTGGATTCGGCCGGAGATTCATGTCTGGCAAGGGTTCTTCGGGCCCGACGAGGTGAGTTCGTGAATGCCCGACATACCTGGTAAACCCACCAAGCTTTTTAATTGCGGCTTGACATCCGAATTCCTTCAAGACCCTCGCGGCCCGGAAGCGAAGCTGCCTTCTGGGTCCTGTCAAAATTGCTTAGTGCTACCGTTACACTGGTAACATTACGGGAGGGCTATCAGGGTGGATTAAGTGATTTCCCCTTTCGAGGCCATCGTCTTTCCCGCCTCCGCGGGTGTGGTGTGGATATGTTGTCAATGTCCAAGAAAGGATGAAGCAACTCCAATTTAACCCCCCCTTCCTCTGTCTCCCCACCTCCCCCTCCGGAGAGTGAGATGAGTAAGTGAACTGTCATTGAGATTTGGTGTGGCTGTGCCTGTCAATATTGGTGGGCTCTGGAAACCTTGAGGCTTGGGGGGGAGGGGAGGGGGTTTCTTTTGTCGGAAGTTACGACGGGTACGAATACCGGGTTGCTGGTTATGGTTTTACCTACGAAACCTGGCTCTCTTTCTGCAAATGAAGGTTCTAGGTTTGTGTAATTCTGAGGGTGGTGGGGTGGGGCGGGAAGTTGTGCAGGCTTCCATGTTGTGTAAGTCGGTATATAAGGCATGTATATATATATATCACTATCTCAACCTCGCTGCTTGGACACGATCTTCAGCACACTTGGATTATGAATCTTATGCACAGCTGACCTTCATCTTAGCCTGCCTCGAGAGACCCGGGTCCTCGTCATCGGGGGAAGAGGGCATCCACCTGTCTACTGGGACTGGACCTGAGAACCGTTTTGACGGGTGTGGAGTGTCCCTTCGGAGATGGTCGACTTCGTTTACACGGGGATTGCAATATCTCCCAATGACCCAGCACCCCAAGCCTGGCACCGGCATCTGGCCTACTCCCTCCCCGCGCGGGCTCCGCTTCCTTCTCTCGCCTTCTTTCTTCCTTCCACGGTGAGGATGGAAATAGAAGACGGAGATGGTTCTTTCATTTCGTGGGGCGGTGGGAGGAGTTCTCGGGGTGTCGTTTCTCTGGACTGGATCTTTGCTGTCAACATCGTTGTCGGGTAGGTACTACGCGTGAAGAACTCGAGGCTCGAAGTCGATGGTTGACTCCATCTCCAGTGTCACCCTTCTTGGGGACATTTCAGATCGCTGAACACTTGGTGTGTTCTAATCAACGTATAACCGAAATAAGCATGTAAATGGGCATGAGTGGGAGGGACAAAAGGAAGAGAGAGAGAGAGAGAGAGAGAAGTTGCCTCGAAAAGGCCATCGATCGCCGTCGCCTTCCCGAGAGATGGGAGACCTCAGAACGAGGAGGGGGTGGATGAGTCCCCGTTTGCCGGCAGGTAGCTGACGATGTCTTGCAGGCTTGAGGTATCCGTACTTGGGGGGCTGTGTGACCGTTGACAGGCGATATAGGGGGTGGGTTGACGGCGGTTGGCGTTGATGATGTACATGGGCTACCCACTTCATGATATATATATAGATATATATCCTTCTCGACCGTGTCCCCAGTCTTGGTGCTGG